ATGGTAGCTAACAAGTGAAAAGATGTCACCAGCTGTGGTAAGCAGATGATGACATACAGAATGTGCAAGTGCATTCACTAGTGGTTGTTTTTTGTTTGTTTTTTTTTTTACTTTTCTAATAAAAAATGCAAGGATGTTTTTTATTTGTGTGTTTTTACATCTAAAACATGAATGCTTTCTGTAATAGCCCTTTTTCCCCCTTTTCTTTTTGTAGAGTCAAGACGACAGATTTGCTTTCACTGCTGAATGGTATGACCCAAATGCTTCACTCTTTCGGCGTTATGAACTTCTGTATTATCCAAAAGATGGATCAGTAGAAATGGTAAGAATAAAAGAAAAAGAAAACTCACCCTGTAGTCGTAACTGTAATATCCAATTAAACAGTTTGTAAAATGGCAAGCCACTGCCTGTGCCTATTTCTTTTCCAGGAAAGGAAAATATAATTTAAGACTTATCTTGCTCTGTTTCTAAAGCTAAAAGAAAAGCAAAAATACAAGTTCACAGTGAAGCATGTGGAAGAGCTTCCATGTTTATGATTTATTTTTTTTCTTAAAGCTTGCTTTGGCCTGGAGAGATTAATTTTCACAAACCTGTTTTCATTCAATCTCTTCTTGGGTTTCAGAATTGAAACTCAGTAGCACTGACCTACTGCTTGGGAAACATAAATTGAAGCAGATTCTAAACAGGGGAATAAGGTTCAGCTGGAATTCCAGAAGTCTCTGAAGAGTAAAATGTAAAAGAGTCTTATCAAAGTAGAGGAAATGGTAAATTGCTCTTAATTTGTTTTTAATGAAAGAAAGGATGTTTCAGACAGTGGGATATAATTTTTTCCATCAGTGGTACTTGCACAGACCTTTCTGACTTGTGGTTCATACGACTAATCCCCATTGTTTATTGACAGCAGGTTAATTGTTATTGTTATTGACTGCAGTAGCAAGTATATATATAAAAATGTAGTATGTACTGTAAAGATAACCCTAATAAACCAACCAGAGCTTTGTGCTTCCTTTTGGAAATGAGTGAATGCTTTGGACTGGTCTTTTTTGATTTTTAATGAAAACCTAAGGGTCTGAGAAAAGCCAAGATTTGGGTATTCACACTTAGTAATTTCATTATCAAATTTTATTTTTCCTGCTATAAATACCAAATGCAGAAATAAGAAAGCTAGTGGAATCTGCCTTTCCCTATCCAAACTACTGCTCACTGAAACCATGGTACCCACCTGTGTGAGAAGATGCACTTTGCACTTTTTACTGATAGTCTCTTTAAACAAAACTCTATCACGATGTTGTACCTTTTAAGTTAGTTCTTTGTATGATGTCTGTGTGTGCACAGTTGTCAAAATGTGAGGGGTTTTATTTTTATTTTCTCAGAGACAGTTTAGCTAATCAGTCAGGAGCCGTAATAATCTTCCTACATAACCATGTGTAGGCTGGCAAAATTGTTCATTTCACCTAGAGGTCTGAAAACCACGAGCTTTCAAGGTGTTCTTGAGCATCTTAATGCATTCAGCACCAAATACCTATGGCTTGGTAGACTTTTGCATTTTGCCAGTGTGCTCTTAGTATAGCACTTATACAGTCATGAGTGTATATGGACTGTATGTGATCAGTACAGGAGTTTTAAAAGCAAAAATGCATGTAGCAGCTCTATAGAATATCTTTTGAGGAGTGAGTTTGTGAACAGAGATTGAATTTAGAATTATCTTCTGGATTCTTTTTATTTTTTTATTTTTAGTTTATGCAGAATTTGGTGATTCTTTCTTCATTACTGCCTAATTCTTCTGCATCTTTTCATATCTTCCTGAGGAGATGACAGCCCGCTCTTACTTCTAACGTATTTGAGGAGAAGGGAGGTAATGGATACGAGCCACCTTCTCCCTGCTTATGAGAAAGATGTTTCATCCCCTTTCCCACCTCCCTGACAATAGGTCTCCTTTATCACACACCTCAGCTGAGGGTAGAGCAGAGCTGTTGAAAGCTTGTATTATGTGAAGTACTCAGTTTTCCTTTTCTTTGTTGGTCCTTCATGTCTTGGTTCCCATGACAGTGGGAATGATGAGACAAGTTTCCAGCTTGCTTTGCAGCTGGAAGAAGACAGCATAGGTTTTTGTCCAAGGACAGCAAGCAGCTTTTATGATCAAACTGGATCTCTTGACAAAGAGATGCCCCATTCTCTCAATTTTCCATAGTTAAATATGCTTATGGGGAATTCTTAAAGCCTGAACAACTTTTCTTTCTACAGGAGATTTCCTAAAAAGAGAGAAGAAATCTTTAAAAAGGACAAATTCTTAGCAGAGAACTATTTTGGTTTTGATAATTTACTACTTCATGTGCACGCGCAGGAGATGGACAGTTCAGTCTTACGTTTCTTCTGCTGTAGCGTATCATTCACTTTATAAAAAGGTCTTTTAAACAGATCCAAAATTCCACTCCAAAGAAGAATTCTTTAACACAGGTAGATGCCTCCCCCTCACCTTTATCTTCTGCTTGAGAAGAGGAAAAAACAGCTCAGGGTGCCTTTCTAACAACTGTTAGTGAAATAACCAAGGAAATATTCCGATTTTTAGTCAAGTTATTGAAGAATTTGAATATGGTCAAGTCAGTTAATAGGCTTCCTGGCAAGGTCCAGGAAAAAACAAGTAGCTGAATTCAAGTGGGGTTTTGTTTGTTTGTTTTTTCAGCATGTTGTCATTTCATTCCCTACTGCACTTGAATAGGGGACACTTAGCGTGAGCACATATCGGGGGCTAAAGACATTTCAGCAAGGAAGGATTCTCCCTTACAATCATGCCTCAGCAGAAGAAATTATCAAAATAATTTATATTCTCTGATCTGCAAAGTTTTGACTATTCTGGAAAAACTTAGAATTCTTCTAGCCTTCTAACAAGACAGGAATGTATTCATACATTTCAGAACATGGAAGAGTATGTAATTTTGATCTTAATATTTTTTCCTCCAAAATTTGTGGGAATTATATTCTTTCTTTTAATGCTATTCTAGTCTATATAGCATCGTAATGGAGGACGGTACATGTAATTCAAGACAGAGAAGGGGAAGTTTGGCTTGAAGAGTATAAAACTCTCCCTTTCATAGGATTCCGCTTCGCCGGGAAACTGAAGGCATCTGTAATAGCTAAATGCAGTGAAGAAACTGTTCAGTAGGTTGCCTCTTGTGCTTTGCCAGCCCACCCAGAAAACTACACATTAACGTCTTGCGTGTTGCTTGGAATGATGATATATAGCTGAATTGTCTTGACAGGCTTTTGAGCTTGCAGCTCTAGGCAGTGAGAACGTCTCAACCTAGTGTCGCAATCATCCATCCATCCCTAATTCTGAGTCTCATGCAGTCAAATCAAGCATAGTATCACTGGAACGATGCCCTGAAGAGGAGACCTGCCACAGTGTGTATCATGATCGTTGCTGGTGCGAGCCATTGGTCTGTGAAACAGCATAGATCTGCTAGGGGGAACTCTCAGTGAGACTGGGCAGAGGTATCCACTAGGTACCTGAACCATTTATCACAGCTTGAATTAGCACAAGCAAATGATAAAATAAAAAAATGCAAAGATAGCTGTCAGCCTGAGTCTATTTATATGGAATAGATTTATAATTGTGGTTTAGTCTGCTGAGCTTTCCTGGTACACCTGCAAGTTCAAAGGTTTAGGCATTAAATCAATTTAGTGATCAGATTCAATGTCACAGTACTATGGAAATTTCTGAAGGACTAAAAATAATGTTGAGTTTGCCCACAGCTTAAATCTCTTGCTATGGTAGATTTTAATCTTCTTTTCTCTGCAGTATGATGTGAAGAACCGTCGCACCTTTCTGAAGCGCACCAAGTATGACAGCTTACACCTTGAGGATTTATTTGTGGGCAACAAAATTACTGTTTTTTCCCGTCATCTATCCTTAGTGGACTATGGGGATCAATATACAGCCCGCAAGCTGGGGAGCCGCAAAGAGAGGTAAGAAAGCAAGTTTTTTGAAATCCTCCTTTGTGAGTGGGGTTTCAAAGTAGTTGTTCTTCGCTGGAAATAAGTTTTCTGTAGTATGGGGAGAGGAGGAGATAGCTACAAGTTTGTGTGCAGTTTGAAGTGATCAGGCATACTGATAGCTGGAGAGAAGCAACGTGGCCCCTGCTCCTGGGCAAACCCGTGACTGCCATCGTTAAATCTTCAAGGTCAGCTTCTCCATGGTGTCAACTGCTGGGGAGTCTTGTTCAGCTTTGTTACTCCCCTGGGGCAGGCAGCAGTAGGATTCTTGTGATTTGTCGATTCTCTGGGGGGCAGAATTGTTATGGTAACCCTCATGTGTGCTAGGCTTGAAAGACCTGAATCTTGTGAAACTAGCACCTGTCTCTCTGGGGTCTGTGCGGAAGCCTAGTGCCTTACCAGTCAGATCTACTCTGTGTTAGCAGTAGTAACTAAAACCAGTAGGAATAGGAGTGAGAGAGGCCCATTCCCATTCTCCATTATTTTTCCCAGTATTGAGGATTTTTTCTGAGAATTTTTTCAGCATCTCCTAAACTCTGTATGCATGAGGACAGGAAGTTTAGAGAGAACGTCAATAAAACCTATAGGCTTGTTTGTTAAGACAAACTTCATTTGTGATGGATGAAGACTCATAATCTCTTTTTGGTTGAAAGACTTGCTTTGGAAAAGACTGTAAGAGCCTATCCAAGAACAAAAATATCAGGAGAGACTTAATAAAATGACAATAAGATTAATTTACAAGGAATTTGAATCTGGTTTGGCTGCAGTGTGGGTAATCTCCGAATTTGCAAATTAATACATTTTGATAATTTTCTCCAGCTTTTTTTGAAAAGAGCACAGAATATTTTCTTAGGTATGATGTTCTAGTAAGCCCTATTCGCCTACTTTCTTGCTCCCTCCCACTGACTGGGCTTATTTTGAACTCTTTTTGGAGAGTTGTACATAACCAGAGATACAGGGAGAGTTGCAAGTTCTAACATGTATCTTTGTCTTAACCTCACAAAAACATTGCCTTGGAAATGACTGCCGTAATATCTTTCCAGAAGGAGTTCTGGTCATTTTCTCTAAGCTGGGGTTGGAAATGGTGGAAATGTAGCAAAGGAGGTGGGGAACACCAGAGGACAGCTTCTATATATGTGGCTACTCTCTCTGTTGCTCAGTGGAGCCTTAGGGAGATTACATGTGCCTTGTTTATGGTTTTTTTATATCAATGTAACTTTTTATAGCTGTGCATTTCCTGTTCTGCCTAAACTAGCATAAATCCTGGTGGTGATGCAGTTTATCCCAAGAAAAGGCAGGTTGTGATAAAATGACATTTTCTTCTTGTAAGGGAAGTTGCGTCTATACAGCAACACTATAGTTGTGTCAATTAAGTGGTCCTGGGAGGGGGTGAATTTTTGTACTGCTCTACAAAAGGAAGGAGGGGAATTTATGACACGTCAGCTGTTTGGAAAACATTTTAGGAATGTTGGCTGAAAGATAGCATAGATACGCAAGTGGTGTTACATATTCAGAATAGCCCAAAGGAACACAGTGAAAGGTGTCTTAAACAGGCAAGGGATCCTCAAAATCCAGTTTCTTCACAGAAGCTTTCACTGGGTAAACAGGGTCATTTTGAAAGAATCCTTGGGCAAAACAGTTGCATATGAGGTATTTGTCTTTTTGGCCTGGTCCTAGCAGGTTTTACAGCCGTTATTAGTTAAATAGATACTGTAAGATTTCTGCAATACATGATAATTCCTAAAATAATCTGTAGCTGGAATTCTGTTAATAATTTTAAAGATGTTGCATGAGGCAGAATGTTTCCCCATCTTTGTCTTGCCTTTGTGCTGTACAGGACTATCACCAGTTTAGTTCGACTTTGGAAATAAGTTCTTTGGTTACTGAATATGTATGCAGACAGGCTCAGCAAAGACCTTTGAGGGAGACTGAGGAATGTATATCAAAAATCGTGAATGTTTTGAATTAGGGACCTTTGGTTTTGTCAGTGAAGCAAGTGAATGTGACTCTAGGTACATGAGGTACAAAAGAGATGTGTAAAAAGAGGATAGATTTGCACTGAAATTTTCTAGAATTAGGCTGAAATTATTATGACACTTCTATGGAATTTCAATTTCTACACCTACTTTTCTTCTGTCTTGGGTGAATTTTTAAATATAACCATATTTGAGTGTTGTTCTTCCTTGCTCCCTTCCCAGCGCATCATAAGGAAACAGTCACAAACAATGACTAAAATGGGTAAGTAAGCATGTGCTTACTTACAGTGTACCATTAAGGAATCACTGGCGTGGGGTAGGGATTTCTGCTTCTGTAGTCTTTCACTTGTGATCCTGGGTGGTTGTAAACTGAGGTAAACATTTGTCTGACCAGTGTGTCCTGTCTAAGTAGACTATACTTAGAGTCAGTTAATATCACTAGTTTTGAAAATTGTGTTAGAAAGCTTCTGTCTCAACCAGAAAGATTTGAATTCTTTTTTGATTGGGCTATGTTATTCTTATGCTTCCAGTCCTTGACATAATCAGTGTTTCTTTCGCTACAAGATATAAGCTACCATACATGCAACAGTCCTATTATTAGAAATAAGTAGATCTCACAAACATAGCCACTGCATGCATTGTGCACCATTCCTTTGATCAGTTCCCATCTTCTGTTGTTTCAGTACTCATTGGAGTACTGTTGTACAGTTCCTCTGAAAATGTAAGCAAATGAGCTTAATTTTCATTCCTCTTTGTTCCTAGACATAAAACCGTTTCAAAATGTACTTTGCAGACTGCATCATGTCAAACCACAAGAAACATATTCTGAATTAAAACTAAAAATAGGGCACATGAATCAAAATCCAATCTCAGAAACAGTCTTCAGCATCCTGAATTATACTTTTCTTATTCTGCATACCTCTGAGAAGCTCACATTGAAATGTTAAAGTTTCTACATCAGTGTTAGAGACAAGATGTTACAAGAGTTGCTCATTGCAGTTTGTATTAATGTCTTCTAGGTAAATTGCTTCATATTGCAGTATTTCATTACATGTTGGTAGGTATTAGTTTTACTAGAAAGCTTGAAATTAGAGAAGGAAGAGACAATTTATTTCTAGCATTAGCAGTCTGTGTACTGACGTAGACTGAAAAAAGTATTCCTCAAGGAAATGCAAACAGCACTGGAGGTCTTGTTGCAGTGCTTTGATCCCTACTGTTCATGGGAAACGAGAGTTGAGAACCTGTTGTGCCAGGATGCAGGTCATGCATTGTATGACCAGGTGGGTACATGTCATTGCTCCAGCATGCAGCTGCTCCCCCTCACACGCCTTGATGCACGTGGCACACCCTGTAGATAAATAATATCACAAAATGAGGTGGAGCTGTGAAATCCTTGGGGGAAGAGGGGAACCTGCTACAGGCCGTAGGCTGCACGGAGTATGCTGTGTTCAATGTTGGCCAGAGGTCAGCCTTTCCTGATCTGAAGATAGGGCTAACCCAACTTTAGTTTGCAGTGCAATGGATAGGCTTGGGTGACTACTCTAATGCAGTTTCTAGCTACACCCTTAGTTCATCAGTCTTTTTTGTGTCATATTTCCCAACAGATCTGGGCCTAAACTGGTCTGTGTATGTGAGCTTCCTGATGCTTGAGGAAATCTCTGTTTCTTTCTGATCTCTGAAGGTCATCTATGTCTCTCCCTTAGTTTCAGATAAAATGTCACATATGTTCAGATCTTCCTCTTTACATTTCCTGGTCCTAACACCTCCCTTTCTTTAGATTTGCTGTGAACTAGTCTGTCTGTTCCCAAAGCAACTGTCAATCTGGGGTCACTTAAGGTTCAAAGTAAATGTAGTGTAAGTTCATCCATCTCCTGTAACCTCAGCATATTTGCCCTGGCTCGGATATACTGCTGCTAACCTAAAGGCTGCTTTCCATGCTATGCTGGTATATAAAATGAGAAATTTGCAATGATTTGCCTTTCATTTAGGGAAGTACTGCAATAAAAAATTCTGTCTTGGGTAGCCTTCATTATTGGAAACAGTGCAAAAGATGGAAGGAGCTCTTTAGGATTGTCAGAGACGTGGAGTTTTTGAGATACAGGGTTGAATAAATCTGTGATTTGTAAGCTGAGCACATTTGAAGCTGACTCACCACAAGATGAATGCAAATAGAAAATGCCATTTTACAGACCTTTTTTGTGCTTGTTATTTTTAATTAATAATATGTTTAGTGCTGATGGTGTACTTGGTGCTATGCAAAGCGCACTAATAAAACAGTCCTGGCCTTGAGGATGTACAGTATAAAAAGATAATTATCGAGAAGACAGGATGTACTTGGAAACAAAGATGTGGGGGAGAGTGTAGAGATTTTTGGTCTCCCTTAGAATATAGCTGTCAGTCAGTATAAGAGACGTAATACCTCCTCTGCCAACGTTTTATTGTGTCTATTAACAGTGTCAGATATTTGGCATGCAAATTGTATACCATGAAGTGTTTGTACTGTACCAAGCACAATAGGACCTTCTTCTCACTGAGGTCTCCAAATATTTTAAAAGTAATAATAAAACAATCATTTCACTTTGAGTTTTATGGAAGAGGTATGGAAGAGGTGTTTAAGTAGCATTTTTAAATAGGGAATTTTAACAGCTTCATTTTTATGTATATAATAATTAACATGAAGAAAAAAGGGAGCTGAGCAAGCATAGGGAGACATTAACAGGTCAGTTGTGTTCTAAGCCAGGGCTGTGAGTGAGGAGCCATATACACTAGCTAAGGAAGAAGTGGTAAATTGTTTGCTCTGAGAGTGAAGGGAGAAGCCAGTAAATAATGACTGCTGGTAGAACATTCTGGGCTGACTTGGGTTAGAAAGCCGAGGAAATTGTAACATGCAAAGCTCATTCTTATCACAATAATAACTTGTGCAGGCATTCAAGAACAGCGTGGAAATTGATGAGACACTGGGACTAGGATGTTTGACTGTGGCAGAATTTCTCTCTTTGATGTGATTTTTTTTGTCTGAACATAAACTCAACATGCACACCAAATGCTCTAAGGAAAGTAGTGTTGGCTGTATCTCTCTACTTTTTTTTTTTTTTTTTTTTTCCTCCCAGAACGCTGGCTTTGATTAAACCTGATGCAATGCCCAAGATTGGAGAATTAATTGATATCATTATTAATGCAGGATTTACAATAACTAAGGCCAAAATGATGATGCTTTCAAGGTAAGGAACTTTTGAGGTTAGCTCTATTGTATCTAAATATTATTTTTGCAGTTAAGAACATTCTCTGAAGCTATGCAGTGTTGTTCCACACATCAAATCCATCCCAGTGAGTAGTAGAGGGAAGACTCATCTGTTTCATAATCATGTAGGTTTCTGAAAGCATGTAGAGAATTAAGCTAAGTATTAAAAAGTGCAAATGAGGATGGGTGATTAAATATATAATGACTCTGTATGAATCCAAGGTGACTACCATAGCTTTAGCTATTTTACTCGTGCATCTTTCTAATTCTCCCCAACCTTTGCTGCTCTCCACTTATTGAGCTACAAGATTTAAAAAAAGACATGCTGCAGAGGAAAGAAAACATAATTAAATTACCTTAGAAGATTCCTCCAAAGTTACCACACTATTTCACCGTTGCTGCTTTGCCAAATCTGTTCATACACAACGTGTCTTTGAAAAGAAAAGCAATCTTATATAATACCATTTTCATGTGTTCTTATGGTTTCTGTGTGAGGTCAGAAACAATTTTCCCCTACCTCAAAACCTTTTTGGCTTTCTGAAATACTGATAAAAAAAATTATGTGACTTCCTCCTCTTGTTTCTGTATTCACCTGCTGCAATGTTTGAGGATACTGGTCCCATATCCTCCCTCAAACAACTCCAGTTTGTGAGTTCAATCAGGTTTCTAACGCTGATTTACAGTTCACAATATCTTTTAAGCCAGCTTTTTTTGGCTTGCTCTCCTGCAGTCTGAGAGATTTGATCCTCAAGTGTTGTATTGGGTGGCTCTTAATTTGAGTTTCTGTCTGAGAACCTGAAGAACTGTTGAGCCAAGTCACGTGCTTTAGAGTTGACTCACACTGAAGGGAAGAAACTTTGAGACTTTTATTGCCTATTGCTATATAAAAATTTCTGCATAATTGAAAAGAATTATTAATAAGCACAAGATTGGGCTGTAATACTGGATGTATTTAAAATGATGTCTTGAGTGTTTGTGGTTTCTCTGTGTACTATATACTCTGTTTCTTGGGACTGTGCCATTTTAAAATGATAGAACTATGGCTTTGCCAAAGTTTTCTACCCTTAGATCTCTGCAGGCATGCTTGTTCAAACCAGCATCATCATCTACTGCTTTCTTTAAAGGGATTATTACTGACGTTTGTCTGGCAATCACTCTTAAGTAGATTCATGCCTTCTGTGAAAATTGTAGCCAAGATGTGAAAGTGAGGGCAGGCACCTGCTTTGATAGGTCAGGTTTTTAGTCTCTTCATTTAATCATATGTCAGTTCAGTCTATTATTCCCAGATGCACACTGTTTTCCATTCTTTAAAAACAGAGGACTAATGAGAGAGATTAAATGAAAAAGGAACTAAGTTACACAGCACAGCTGCAGTTTTGTATTTATTGGAATAGGAATTCTTAACTGAGTAGTAGAGCTCAATTTGTTTCAGAAATATATCCTTCGAATATTTCTTCGCATTCAGAAGTGATAATACTTAATCTATTTGCATACCTTTTTCATATTTGCTTTCCAAAATTATTTGGCGAATTAGTTTCAGAAGAGGATTTTCTGGTGAAATAGTGAATTGTAAGCAAAACTTCAGGCTATTTGCAGAGTGTAGGTTTGAAGCTTGAGATTGCAAGAGTTCCTGTGACTAGCATAATTTTTAAATCATGTTTCTGCCGCATTTATGCAATAAAAGGAAAGCATATTAGCTGTATGGTCAATGAAAAGCTTTTGAATTTTGAATGGCTCGTACTTACACTGAACTGAAAGCAACAAACAAGGAATTTTTCAGTTCCAATGAGCAGGTGGTCATTTTGATAGAAAAACTGGAGAAAGCTGTGACTGTTCAAATATTTGTCAAGGTTAGGAAAATTAAATTCTTCTTAGGTTCTTCTTGAGGTTCTTTCTTTCCTCTGGCAATATTGGGCTTAAGTCTGGACTGCAGATGGGAGAGAGATCTGGGAAGTTGCATTGCAGATGACAGAACCATGCCTTTGTTCAGACTTGGAATCTGTTATTTGAAAAACTTGCAGGTAATTTCTTCAGTAAAGAGGGCTGGTCAAAGTGAGCAAAATCATGGAGAAGAGGAAAAAATCATAAGACTGTTTCTGTATGTAAAACCAATTTTCCAAGTGGGAATCTTTTAGTCTCCCTGCAGCTCTGCTTTGATTATGAACTTTGTACCCAGACTACGGGTGAGCAGTATTGCTTGCTTTCACCTGCCAATGCTCCTGAAGAGCTTGTCCTTCTCCACAAATTCAAGCTTCAGGAAGTGATACACACCAGGATTTGGAGCAAGCCAAGACCAAGCCTGCACTTTTGAACTGGAATTTTGAAGCTGCAAAATAACAGGGCTAGACTTGAAAACCTCCACAGATTTTTCTAGCTGTTGCCATGCAAAAAAAACCCCAACCCAAAACCCACCAAAAAACCAACTAAACAAAAAAACCTCAACGCAGTAAGCAAGAGTTAAACATGAGAAGGAGCTGAATTAAAAAGTAGGGAAGAGCTAGCTGCACGGGGTGGTGGGGTGAAAAGCCACAGAATGGTATGCCCACTGGTGGATGGATGGTGGGTCTGCACAATGGTCCCCAAAACTTGTGTAGTTGGGTAGCTGAGCCCAGTGCTGCCAGCAGCACGGCTGTGGCAATACAGAGCTCGGAGAGGGCCACCACCCTGTCTGAAAAGGGTATCTTTTTGTTTCCAGTACCTGAGTAAAGGCTAAGTAACAGCTGTGGTACAGACATACTGTCTATGCCTGGTGGCCTTTATTTGCCTGGCAATCTAAGGACCCCTCCTCATTACAGAAACCCCATTGCTTTGGGAGAAAGCAGTGTGTAGTAACTGCTGTGTTCCTCAAGGGAAAGTGCAACAGCAAATTGAGATTTCAAGTGAGAAAGTGTGGGAGAAAGCAAGTTTTATTCTGGAGGGCATTGTTCTACCTATGTGACTTGTAACATTTGAGGATACTGAATAGAAACCAGGATATGCAATGTTCTGTTGTGCAGCAGTGTAATCAAACGCTAACCTTGATAAGGAAATAAGTTCCAGTGAAGCAGATAAATTGTTTATTTGTGCTTTAAAACCAAACTTCATTAACCAACATACACACTGAAAATGAGATGAAAGATGAAAACAATATAACAGCGAATGGCTTGGCAAGAAGGTGACTGTGCATTTATTTCTCAACTGAGAATGTGGGGACCATCAGTGACCCTGAAAGTCTACAGGCTTCAGTAATTGCTTCCTTCCCAGAGCTGGAGCATAAGGAAGAGTCGGCCACAAGCTACACCTGTAGCCTCACAAAATATGACAGAAGGTCAAATGTAGTTTCTGTTATTGGACATAAACATCCCACAAGCTGTTCAGCTTGGGAAGACATTACCTGTAGAAACGTGTTGATGAATGATAGTTTGGGGTTTTCAGGGGTTTATATATATATGTGTGTGTGTGTGTATCTATATGTATACATCTATATCTATGTCTTTTTACTCTTCCAGAAAAGAAGCAGCTGATTTCTACATAGACCATCAATCAAAACCTTTTTATAAGTACGTATATCAATTTCAACTTGACATGTAGTAAGCTTATTTATTGAATGCACAGGATTCATTTACCATATTTGGTACTGCAGGACCATGGGAAAATCAGAACTTGTCTTAGTTGAGTGGAGCCTTTTGCAAAGTATGCACCCTGTTCATCTTCCTCCAGGGACAGATCCTTATTTCAGCTATCCAGGGTTTTAACTCGCACTCTTTACAGCCTGATGATATCAGGGGAACGTCTTTCGTGTCTCAGAAGTGAAAATGCTCCTAGCAAGGCAAAACTTCAAAGGCAAGAGAAGGAGCATCTTCAGGATCAGGGTGGAGCTTGCAGATAATGAGAATTAGAGGGGGAACACTTAGCTGTGAGAATTGATTTGGGAGCAATCATAAGTAACTGAAAGGATAGTGTGTGGGGCAGTTGTTTACTGTACTGCTACCTTTGGAGAAAACGTCAAACTTCCATGGTGTTAGACTGCTCAACCTAACATGAAAAACCTCAGTCTTTCCATAACAGACCAGATTGATGCTTATGACCCAGAGGTGGTATCATTTCTACTTTGTCTGAAAGTGCCAACAAACAACTTTTCCTCCCTCTAGACTTGGTGGTCTGCCTCTTTTAGGGAGAGGGTGCAGCTCTGCCTTGTGTTTTCCAGCCATTTTGGAACCTGGGTTTGCACTGACTTGGTCAGAAGACCTGGTTTCAGTACTATCATGAAGTGCCTGAGTATTAGGATCTGCCAGCTGCTCTCCTGCAACAGCAACTGGTCTATTGTGGGTCCAGACTCAAGCCCTTCACGGAGACATGGCCCCAGGCTACATCTGACCGTGCTGAAGATCAGAGGAAGATTTAGAATTGCCTTTTCTTTGCTGAGTAAGCCTGCTTGAATATGTTAATAAATAAGCAAGAATTTTGCCTATAGTGTTATTTCACAGATGTCTATCTACACTAATGGTCATTATCTGAGGAACTGTAGCCTTTGTCCACTGTGATGTGCCTGTTTCCCATCCTGCAGTCCTATTGGCTACATCTTCTGTGTAAGATTTTTCTCTAAATTAGAAACAAATAGTTGTAAAGCATTACGAATTAGATAGAACAAGAATCTTCAAGGCAGTGAAATGTAAGATCTCTGACTTGTTTATATCTAGCATTGTATTACTTGTCTTTGAGTTCAGATTTAGTTTGCAAGTCCACTAGTCAATGTAAGTCCAGTGAATAGTAGGGAAAAATAGCAATTCTACTTGTTTGGAAAAGAATGTTTTTCATATTAAAGAATTTCATTTAAAAAAATTATTTAATATTCAGAATTAGTCTGCACAGTGTTATAGAAAGAGCTTTTTTCTTGGATGTATGTATATATAAGCCATTTAATTGTATCCTAAACAAGCAGTCTCTGACCAACAGTCCATTGAGTTCCAATAGCTGAGTTCCACTAGCTTTTTCCTGTGTAGTTTCTTTATGTAACTTTTCATAGTTTCAATATTGTTCATTTAACAAAGAACTAGTAGGATTTCTCTTGTCTTCTTGCTCACTGATCATCGCATAACTGATCATCAGGAAGAAGATGGTTGGAGAAGCACACACATCTACAATTATAATTGTGTAAAGCTCTTTTTTTAACAAAGTAGTACAAAAAGCATTGAGTCAACTTTCTCCTTTGTTGATTCTGTCCAGACTACGCAGTAAAAAGGCAGGTTTGTTGGTATGCATGTTTTGTAAAGATACTGAATTATAATTATGGTGTTTTGTTTAGTTTTTAAATAGAACATTTGGGTTTCCAATTTTGGGTGGGTGGTTTCCGTGTAAGTGAGGTGGTCAAGACAGGAAGCAGGCTGCTCCTGACAATCTCTTCTCCTTACTCATTCATCCCATTAAAAATCACTTGACTTCTGCTTATGCCAGGATGTGATAACTTACTTTGTGATTAAGTCCCCTCTCTCCCACAAACTTTCCCAATCTTGCTTCTCCCTTCTCTCCCACTTTGGATTTCGGCTGGGCAAAATCCATGGGAGAGATCCATGGCATGGTGGAGCAATTCATCCTGACAGAAGTGCTGAAGTTGTGTCAGGGTATGTGTGAGGATCCTGAAATCCTGCTGTACAGAAAAGACATGCTTAGGAATTGTTCCTGTTGGACAAATGCTTGACAGGGTCTCTTTCACTGTTGCCAGTACTGATCTTTTAAAAATTCCTTTCAAATCTAACATACTACACAGTAGCTCGCGCGAGTTTGTATTATCTGGGTTTTTTTTTCTACAACCATAATAAAGAAGGGAATGTGTGCACATCACCTAGTCCAACCTCCTCCTCAAAGCAGAGCCAGCTTCAAAGTTAGATCAGGTTGCTTAAGGCCTTGCCGAGTTGAGTTCTGAGCATCTCCACTGGATCATATGTTTTTGTTGGTTTTAATTTGTAGCGTGGATCACCATGTGCTGTTTCCATTTTACAGTGAGCTTCTCCAGTTTATAACGAGTGGTCCCATTGTTGCTATGGAAATCTTAGGAGATGATGCAGTTTGTAAATGGAAAACATTACTGGGGCCAGCAAACTCTGCTGTGGCTCAGACTGATGCACCAGACAGCATTAGAGCGAACTTTGGACATGATGGTCTAAGAAATGCAGCCCATGGTCCAGATTCGGTTGCTTCAGCTGCTCAAGTAAGTTTTTGACTATGTTGACTGAGGTTTATTTTTACTTTATTTGGTAACAGCTGGGTCAGAAATTCCTCATTTTTCTCCCCACTGGAGTTCAGAACTAGTTTAGATATTTTTCATGGTCCTTTTTAGCATGGAAAAATAAACTGTCTGGAAACACAAATCTCATTTATCTCTGTCACAAAGGGGAACCTTGGGCACTTTGATCAGGAGAGCATGCCTGGTCATTTTTAATGTCTTCTGTACATCACAGACATTGAGTTAATTGCATAGTCTGCATAATCTACCTATAGTCTGTCAATGTTGGTCATAAAAAGAAAGGGATTAAACAATTAAATCCTTTTGTGCCCCCATGTGTTTCGTTTATCTCTTCTCCACAGTCCTCACTAGTCCTCTACCTACAGCCTACTTGCCTCTGCTGTGCTTGTTCAGAATGAATAATTATGAAATCAGGCCACTTTGTATTGCTTTGTTTTGAGAGGTAATACAGTGGGCCTGGCTTTGAGGAGTTCGGTTCTCTTTTGCTTTGTTTGCAGTGTGTCTTTCCTTATGATTAAGCAAAAGCCCTGGGACTGGGTGACAGATATTACCAGCATTTCTACAGAGCTATTTGTGGGTGGTGGTGTGGGGTAGATATGCTGATATATGATGGTAAGAAAAAAGTTTATTTCGCGATTGATTGGTATTGTGCTGTGGTATCTTAGCGCTAGACCAGTGGGGAAAAGATACCAGTTGTTGCTTCCTTGGTCCTAGTTTTTCCTCTATTTAAATTGGAACAGCTGCAGTAGTACAGCTGGAGAGAGACCTGCCCCAGAATACCTAATAAGCTGCCAAGTACAGTATGCTAGTAAATATAAATAGAGATTATGTCCTGGTGCTGAGGGCAGAGTTGGTCAGCCTCTTCTTCTGGCTGGCTGTTAGGCTGCGTGGCATAGCAAGCTAACTGCAAAGCGTGGGTGGTTTTCTGCTGGTCAAGCACTCATCTCACTTATCTGCACCATTCCTGGGCTGCTGGATCCTCTCCGTGTGTCTCTGGTTTTGGCAAGAAATCATATGCTGGACCTGAAGTATTTTTGTGCTGGCAAACACAATGAAGATGGTACAGAAGATAGAAGGAGTTTGGATGAAATTGATCTTTTCTGATGAAGGAGAATTTTAGTCAGAAATGTCTTTGTAGCTCTGGTTAAATAGCTGGATGTCTTCATATGTAAGGGTGAAAGTTTCTCTTTGTTCCTGGTACTGCCATGACAACTGTGCCAGCTTTTGAACTGAGAGTGTAGGAAAGAGTATCTATTAGCATAACATTTTGATTAGAAGCATAAGTATGTGCTTTGGCTTAAGTTTGTTGTTCTTTGTACATTTCATTATTTTTGAAATGCTGTTTGAAGGCCCCATTCATCTGCAGTATTTTTATGACTGTGGGTTTATTTTGCTGAGCTTTTGCAGGTGTGTGCATCTTCTGTGGTGTTACTGATACAAACCTTGAGTAAATCAACCAAAATTGTGAATTTAATACCCCTGTGCCTATTTTAATTTAGTAGGCCCAGTATAATGTGGCTGTATAGCAATTGCTGTGGAAACTAGTTGGCTGCACTTTGCAGCAGCTTTGCTGAAAAGAAAGAAATATAAGATAAAGGGACCTAAATGAACTCTTCTGAAGGAAAACCCAAGTCCCAACCACATCTAATGAATGTATTGTAAACTGAACAGTTAGAGTGGAAGATTGAATTGTTCTTTTGGAGGCTAAATGACAAGTGACAGTATGCTCTGGTATACTCTAAGCAGGCCAAAATTTGGAATTTCTTTATATCAGGAATAAAGGGAAAGGAAAGTAATTTTCTTTTTAAGGCTTCACTTGGTTTTAGTTTGGCATTTCATTATCCTTGTCCTTCAGCATTATTTTGTGATTTTCTTTTTTATGATTTTTAATGGATAAAACAATGTTAAGTATTGTAAATATTTTGCTGCCTTTTCCTGGCTACTTCTTTTAGACTAAACATTAGTTAACAGAGTGGGACAAGGTCTTTGAAGCATGCAGCATTTTATCAGTAGAAGGATGTTGGAAATGAACCCTTTTGTCTCAGATATGCCCACTTAAAATGTGGATCGTTTGCTAGGAGAAAAACAAAAACCATTTTCCCTTCTGTTGAAAGATACATTAGTTTGAATTGTGTAATTGTTCAAGTAAGGATTACAGGAATCGTCAGAGTGCCATGAGCAAAAGACTGGGAGATAGCTAAGTCTATTCCATCTGAATTGAGTTAGTAAATTAAATGAGACAATTCCAGGAAATGACACTGCTACTGTTACACAGGAAAAAATCAAATAGATTCAGTGGTAGTATCTCTAGGATATTATTATTTCCCTTAAATAGAAATTCATCAGTTCTCTTATTGAATTTGACCAATAGGTCTGAAACGGAATCTGTGTTTCGAGCATTTGACTAATGTTTATTGGCAGATTGTGTAACATATGTGAATAAATGGTATGGAAAAAGTGTGAAGCTGGCAGTGAACAGTGAAAAAATATCACTGAGGAAAGAAGCCTGGCTATCAAGCTCACCCCAGTATGGTCTAAGACCCACACTATATGATACCTGAATAGTGATGGTGGGGGAAAAGGAAGTGATCGGAGGCAAAGAGGTTCTTTTGATTCATCCCAGAAATCAGAGCAATTTTGTTCATCAGTTTCAATTCAGTAAGATTAAAAAAAAAAAAAAAAAGGAGTCAGTAAGGCACGAGGAGTGAGTCAACAATTTTACACAAATTTTAGTTGTTTAAGACAAAAGGAAAAATAGTTGTAAACACATAGGGTGGAGGTCAGTTTTGTATAGGGAAAGAAAACCTACTGAGAAATGGATGGCAGTTGCATTTTTGCTCATCTAGTGGAAAAGTTTATGTGAAAAGAGTGAAAATATGTGTATATGGGAGTGGGTTTGGGAAAGATACTGAGGAAGGGGAGAGAGAATTCAGAAAGCTGGGAACACTTCTACCAAATGATGGTGGCAGCAGCATTTTGAATGCTCTGAACGGAAATGGATGACATTGTGGAAGTGAAAAGAAAGACATTGCAAGAAATATTCAAATCATGCTTTTATGATTGTAGGAATGGTGCCAGAGAGGGAAAGATATACTCGAGAGAGCATTATAGGGAAAAAATATTCGTAGCATAAAAATCTGTATTTAAAGTTTCTCTTCTGTGACTATGGATACTTCAGATGATGTTACTTGTGATAAAAGCTGATGTATGCAGCTAGATCAAACTAAAATGTATTCAATTACAATTGTTTTTAGGAGCTGGAGTTGTTCTTTCCCTCCAGTGGAGGTCATGGACCAGTCAACAGTGCAAAATTCACAAACTCTACTTGTTGCATTATTAAGCCTCATGCAGTTAATGAAGGTAAGCAATAATGGAGGTGAAAGCAATGTGTGCTTAGTTGTATATACATCATCATTCCTGTCCTCTTCTTTGGGAGAATGAGACTGCAAGAGCACAGGGTATATTTCCTAGTACGTGTAAAAGTATGCAAATAATGTTCTTTCGTAGACCTTTAGTATTTCTGCAGTTCAGTTCCATGAAGAGTGGGTTGTGTGCTTTACATGTGGATACTTGTTAACTTCAGAATAAGAAGTGACAGGTGAAAAAAAGAACGATAAAAATATACATGAGATTTGATGAATCTTATTGTGACAGCTTACCATGTCCTTTGTTCTGTCTGCCCACCATACTCATCTGCTGGAGGTTAGCATCCTCGCAGCAGAGTGAAAGCAGGACACCTGGCCATATTGCAGGGCCTTCCACTCACACAGTAACACATTATGTTAAAACTACTCACAAAGGAAGATTTGTGCTGATACAAATCTTGTTCTGCTGAATGCAGTGGGGATGGAAAGTAGAAAAGGCTTATTTACTCTATAAAAGTGAGCCAAAGACCTAAAGCATTTGTTGGACTCCATGATGCTTTCTGTGCTGGAGAATGCCCCGTGAGCTCACCAAGTGAGTATTGGAAATGTTTAATGCCCAGCTGTCACCATGCAAAAATAATCTCACTTTTGTGTCCTGTAGTTGGATACAGGACCATGTGTAGGAGCAGTGAGTGCAGTAAAATATGTTGGCTCTGGCACTGCAACAGTATTCTTGAGTGCAGAATAAACATTGCCATGTGAGAGCATTGAGATTTTTCTAGTAAGATGCAGAGCACACTGCAACATTTTAATCACTTCTCTGTGGATAGCTGAAATGGGAAGAGCAGAAGTGGCTGTAGCAGTTTCCAGGCCTTTCACACCTCAAGTGGGATGTCTGGAGAGCCTGCTGAAAAAAAAATGGCTTTCACAAGAAAGAGTCTCGCACTCACTGCTGATAATCTGCCTGTTATCTCTTTGAGGCCTTGCATGGTATCTGCTACCGATAAGTCTGCCATGCAGCAAAGACAGTATGGTGTTCCTTTTACAGAAACATGGGCAGCAGCTGGGATCTTACTTAGCTAAATGTTTGCAGAGGACAGACTTTTCCATGGCAGGATTGTTAGGGTCCTTAATTTGGTTGTGAAAATAGCAAAGTGGATGGCTTGGGGTGTGCTTTCTTATACTTAAGACTTAATCTCTATTACATATGGAGGTTCAGATTCTCTCTTAGTGAGCTCAGGTTGTCCCTTCCTACTTTTAATCTTCTTCATTTCTGTAGATTTCATAGTGCCCTGTCCGTTACTTACTTTCTTTTTTATTGAACTTCTCAGATTTTTTCTGAAAAAAAAAAAAAAAAAAAAACAAACAAAAAAAACCCCAGAAAAATTCTGAATCACCAAAGGACCAATTCTAGCCCTGTTTGCACTCCCCTCTGGGAGTGAGTGTGTGCGGGAGGTGGGAGTGGTGAGAGAGAGAAAGAGGTACGAGTACCGATAAACGCAAGATGTAAGTGCACACCCAGCTTTGCAGTGTGAGCACTAGAAAGATTGGACTAGAGCTGAGCTTAATATCCACTGTATAGTCCTTTTTCTTACACCACAGAGGGCTGGAAAGGCAGACCGCAGCTGCCAAACAACAACTAAAATTTGAAAGACAAACTGTACCTTGTGTGAGTGTTCTCTGTCCATACAGCTTTGATTACTACTCTCAACAGAATGAAGAAATCAAAACTGAATTTTCTTTTCTAAGTCAGCAAAGCGTTTAATCAATTTTAAATTACTATCAAGAATCATGGAATTCGGGGACTGGCTGCTTTTTACCTTACTAAGCTCTATTGTTCCTGCCTGTTCTCTCCAGTGTTACTTGGAATGTTTCAAAAGCCACACGTGCTGCATCTCTTAAAGAGGTTATGAGACTGAGGTGGTCTTGTAAAACTTTCCAGAAGTTGACAAGGAATTGGGCTTAGGGAAGGGAAGAGTCACTGTGTCTGGGCGGTGGCTTCACTCTTTGGCTGAGAGCACTGGTGTGGCTTCATATTGCAACTGAACCGGTTCCAGTCTGCAGTGTGAGGCAAGATGACTCCTTCTTCAAAAGGGCTGCAGAAGTCTCCAACGTCAGCCCAATGGGTCAGGAGTATCACAGGGGAGAGGATTTGGCTTTCTTAGCCTGTCCTCCTCTGTCTTCCTTAGTCTTTCTTGTGTTCTTCAGCCTCTTTGTGTGAGTAACAACAAAAACGTCACTGAGTGGCATCTTTTTTGGTACTCATGGTCTTCTTATAAAGCACTTTGCATCATCACAGTTGGAAGAATCATGCACAACAGAGAGCTGTGCACTAGCTTTGCAGCAGTTTTTGGATATCTTAATTCTGAAATTACTGTCTTATGATTAAACTGCCTGTTTTAAAGTTGAAGGGACATAGCCTTTGCCTCCTGTAGATTTTAAAGCTTTTAAAGTTTTGAGCATGCTGTGTATCCAGTGGCAGGCTGTCTCTACAGAAATGCCACCATTCCTCCTTCCCCATGCAGATTGTTTTGGAGTCAGGGAATAGCATGCTGAAAGGGTTTGGGAGGACCAAACAATCTACTCAGGAGAAGTCCTAGCTACTTGTCCGAAATACACAGACAAGAAGGGAGAAGCCGAGCTTAAGGGATTAGAGAGTAGAGACATGGCAGCGGAGCAGGTTGGCCCCATGGGATTGTGCAGAAAAAGAAAGAAAACTTTCTGTAGGCAGAAAGTTTAAGAAAGGAAAGGCTGACCTATTTGGGCTCAGCAATCCATGACAGAGCGAGGAGGCCCTGCTCATCTCATCTCATCTCCTTTTTAACAGCTGTTAGCAACTGTGTTCAGTGATACCTGAGACATTCTGGTTATGCCAGCAACTTCTCCTATATCTCAGTTGAAGTAGGTGCTGTAGCAACTAGTGAGCTGCCCTTTTGGCAAAATTGCACATAGGAAACTATGTGGTCTTAAAAATAAGCAACTTGTTTACCACCAGCAACAGTGCTTCTAGCTGTGGCTGTCCATCCTGCTGTTTCTGGTGGGGAGAATGGAAGTGGAAACACGGCAGCTGGAGAGGAAAGGAAATCCTGTGTGGCCATCAGTGCGAGAAGGTGGTTTGGTGGAGGCGTGGAGAGGAATTTATGTGGGTCAAAGCAGCAGAGTCTCTTATGCATTGCAGATTTGATTTGTGCTCTGCAAATTTTCAGTATTGAGTATCTAAAAATAAACCTTTTTGACATTTCCTATGCGCTGCTGAGGCTTTGAACTTGATTATCTAATTACCATGAATATAATCTGCTCATTAGACATGTACAATTAGATGAAGTTTCACTTACATGCTTGAGCTTATATGGAGCTTTAGTCTTTATTTCTGCAGAAACATGTCTGAATTTGTGATTTGAATTTTGGTTTCCAGTCTTTTTCCCGGTGTTTCTTTTTCCTCCAGAGTCCATTGCATAATTGATTCTTAGAAGGAAAAATCTTCTATTTTTCCATCCTGGAAGATGGTTTGCTTTAACCACAGCTGTAAGCTAGGAAGCTTTTCAGCGAGCTTACCTTGCTGTCAAAAGGCTGGATCTAATCTCTAGTTTACACTGGTTAATTCTGGGACAGAGTCCTTTCTTAGAAACTGCCTTCGATTATCGTAGAGGGTTTGTAGGGTTCCTATCCAGGGACAGAGCAGTGGAAAATCACTGTTGGTTTTATCTCTCGCCTTGCTGACCCTCTCCTGAGGGGCATACGGAAACATGTTGCTGGGCAGCCGCGGCAGCCCAGCCCCAGCCCCAGCACCTGCAGCAGGGCCTGGCGCAGCGCTCACCCGCCCGATGGCTCCTGCAAGCGAGAGCACCGAAAGCGTCTGCCAGGCTGCGGGGGAACCCTGGGGCCTGATGAAGGGCGTTGGGGAGTTACACAAAGTTTAACTTCAGCTGTCAAGGGTGCTGGTAATGCTGGAGGGGCGGTATTGCTGGCCCTCTAGGAACATGTATCATATGCACGTCTTAAAGAAGTAAGGCAATAGCTATTTCATCAGTCTGGTGTCAGCGTAACCTCTTCTGTGGAGATCAGAGACAGGAAAGCAGCTGGGAAGGCCATTGAAGGCAATGTAGCCCCGTGCTCTGGACAAGACAGCTTTAGCTCATTCTCTAGCGGCTCCTCACGGCGGAGATGAAGCGCTTCCCTGGCTGGCTGGAAAGTTGGCAATGGCGAGGTGGTTGTATTTTAAATCTGAAGAGGGTTTGCAACAGCAGTCCAGTTGCTCTTTATTGGGAGCTCAAAGAATGCAAAAGCAACCAGATGCTACTCCATGCAGACTTGTTCCAACCAGGGTTGTGTTGGGGACACACGATGTGGTTTGACCCCTGCAGAATCTGCCACACTTTTCAGTGTCTTTTAGCCTCCTCCTCCTCTTCTCCAGTTTTCAGTTGAGGAGAATGGTAACTAGTAAGCACAGTTCCTTAGTGTGTTGATTAGGATTGTAGGGCTTAATTGTTTAATAATTGGAGTGCTTTAGTGTGGATCTGTGTTCTGTAACCCACTTGCTTCTTGTGCTTGGAGGTTCTGATAATTCAGATACAATGTTACAGCTGCAATCATTTAGCCATTCTCTTTTTGTAATTCCCCTCCTGTTATTATAACTGGAGGTATTAGCAGTAGTGCTCAGAAGCCAAACTTGTAATTGCACCAAAATGAATGACCCTCAGTTTAATACCCTGAGGACAGTTATGACTGGACTGTTTTGTCAGCAGAAATAGCACCTTGTAGATCACTGGGTGGCATTAACTTTATTGTATTTATGTGTAAAAGTTTAGTCATGTTTGCTGCAGAATTAGAATTTGGTATTTCATGACTAGTTTAATATTTCTTTGATGTGGCTTTTATTTAATTCTTTTGAAAAACAAGCAGGGAAAAAAATGACAAAAATAGTGATGATCAGGCTATAAAGGCTGAGGTCAAAAGCATGTTATATTTCATATTTTGTATATAGGTTACAGCACAGAGCTTGAGAGGAAAAATCCTGCCCTCCTTTTCTGCGCTCCCAAGCTGAGACATGGGTTTTCCTAACATCAGAGTTTTGCCAAAACCAAATTTGGGGCTAGAACTGTGCCACAAACTTGAAAAGCAAAGCTGTTGGTCAGGAATTGATTGGACCTGATGCAAACTGAAAGGCCTGCCTAGAGGTAAGGAAGCCTCTATGGCCTTGAGGGCTCCTAGATGTGAAACTGGTTACCCACACAGGTTGGTTTGTAGTATGTCTTAATCTTGAGATTTTGTTCTAACATTGCTGGTAGGTTAAACCCTTGTCCCTTTTTTGTAATAATAATAAAAAAGTTACAGTGGTGTCTTCCACATTATTCTTCAACTAAAATTTAAGTCTCACAGGAAACAAAAGTGGGTTCTTTCCAAGTGGAAAAGATGTTCTGTGGAAATGTGGTTTTAGATCTGAGTGGGTGATAAATCTTAGAGAGTGCTCCTGTCTTAACTTAATACTTACTGGACTATGAATTTAGAAATTAATAGACCTTTTTATTGATCAACAAAACACTGCATGACAGGTAACCATAAGAATCATATTTCCTTATTTATGCAAAAACTTAGAAAATTTTTAATTGAGAGAATACTTCCTTGCTCTAGAGACAAACCTGACTTGGACAAAAAGAATACCAAGGACTATAATTGAGTCTCAAGCAGGTACAGAAACAGGATTTACTTATGTAGGATCTCAAATGAAGTTACTTTACAAGAGAGAGTAGGGAGAGAAGGACTAAAATCCAGCATTTTAGTAGATTATATGTCTGATTGCAAATAACTGAAGAGCTGTTCCTGACACACGATATGCTTGTTGGTCTTTGAAAAAGAGAAGGCATCACTGTGAAAATGTCCAGTTGACCTCTCTAGTGTGCCAAGTATAGTTACATGTATGTAGTTAGGAAATAAGCTGGAAAAGAAAAAGAGGATAGGATAGAAGAGGTGCAAATCTGTCATCATTCTCAGGACTAGGTATCTATATCATTGTTTTATATGAAGATGATTCATATTAATAAGATTTTTAAAAATTATAAACAAACTCTGGAAATTTCTTTTTCATCCTGGGCTTAGACATAAGTTTCAGTAACTCATTTTTATTTTCAGAAAACTTAGAAGTAGAACAAGGTTTTCTCATACTTGAGAAAAATGAGGAAAGCAATTTTCTCATAAATAATCTGAAAGTATATCTTCTGTCTGTGATAAGTATGCATAATAGAAAGGTGAAGTGCAGATGCTGTGGACTTCACCTCGTCATAGGCAGAAGTTTTCTTTGTATCTTGTCTACAAGGCTGAGTGCAAAGGGGCATCAGTGATAGCCTTGATAAACTTAACAATTAGAAGTCTGGAAGGAACTACTTGAAGATAGAATCTGGAAATGGAAAAAAAGTGGAATGAACACAAAGCTTTGCAAATGCTTCAAAGAAGTACAGTGGATCGTTTGAGCTGTGACCTCTGGGTAGTCCCACATGCAATATGGCAATCTTAGTGTTGCAATCATGTGAAAACTACTTGGTAAAGCTCTATGCTTTCAGAAGCAGGTGGTTTTTTGCAGATGGATTTACCCAGGCAGAAGACATATTTATGCAGAATTAAATGCATTTGACTTCTTATGTTTTCCTTGAATATATTATATGTAAGGTATTGAAGTGTTGGGTGGTGTCTGGTGGTGGTGGGGTTTTGTTTGTTTTCTCTTTAAAGAAGCTAGGAAAAAGTGATTAAAATGAAAGCAACCTACTTTACCACTTTATCACCATTTTTTAGAAAAACATTTACTTTCCATGAGAACAGTAGTCCATCCACTTCCATCTGTGTTTTAAACTCTTTCCTGTAGTTGTAATGATGGATAGTCCTTGCTTGGGATGTTTGGTTTTGAAACCAAGCCTATGTTGTTTCTTGATTATTTCCTGCATAAAGTTTTAGAAGCTTGGCATTGGCTTCCCAACTTAAACTGACTTTGGATCTCAGTGGCTAGTGGGGAAGCGACATTCATTTTTTTCAAAGTATGAAAAATATATTTTGCATTTGAATTGATTAAGGTAGAGGGGGAAGTGAACTGAATCTGGAAATCCTTTCTGACAGCTTGAGACTGGAAGGAAGAGGAGAAGGTATACTTCAGAGAAACAGACAGATCAAATGGCACAGCCAATCCTTGCTGAAGCTGATAAGTATCCTCCTACTATTGGAAAGAGAGTGTTTCCCAACAGTGTTCAGTAGACCTATATTAGAGGTGCTCCTGTTGCTGAAAATCATCTATGTGCAGGGACGATGGTGTTAATATAATAAAAAAAAAATATTAGGAATGAGTGTTTATTATAGCATTTGGGGATTTTCATTCTTAAAGGGTTAGAGAAAAGTTAATTTTAAGAGTCATCTGGGGAATTTCAGGCTAGTGAAACTTTTTTCATACCAAGGAAACCGAGGAATCAAGAGTCTATAATTTCTTTTAAACCACTTAGATAGTGATGATAGGATGGACTTTTACCACCATGTCTTTTCTGAAAGAAAATAGGCTTTGCTGATCTCTGAATTCTCTAAGTATACTTTCCATAAAGGAAGATAAACCAGAGCCAGATAGTCTAATTCACTTGAATATCAGTGCTTTTGTCAAAGTCCCTTGCTGTTAGGAAACCAAAATTTTCCTTTAGTGAAGTAATTTGTACATTTAGATTTGTGTAGCATAAGCATCTGCATAGCTTTAAATGCTTTCCTGAACATTGGACTGGGCATGAGCAAGTCAAATCAATAGGGCTTTACAAGTGAAGTCTTGTCACCCATCCTTGGGCCAGTTCTTGTCAATATTGTCATTAATGACTCGGATGGGGAAGGGCAGAGCATGCTTGCAGTGTTTGCAGATGGTACCAAGCACCTGCTACAGTTTTGGAGGATACAATTAGAATTCAGAACATTCCTGATGAACTGCAAAAATGAAGCAATATGAAGAAAATAAAACCAAATATGAACAATGGCATAGCACTGCCATGGAGGGGGGGGAAATAAATGCACAAATATAAAATAGAGAACTGACAGGGTATCAGCGAAAAGTCTGTAGAGAAATGGTTGGAATAGTGATACACCATAAGCACGATCAGGGTTCACAATGTTGGACACACTTTATTTAGGGTTGTGGTTTTTTTCCAGTAACTAGTTCTACGCAGTGCTGGTGAGAACCCAACTTGTGTACCATGTTCAGTTTCTGGGTGCTGTGTTTCAAAAATAACATAATCAACTGAGAGCAAAAAGAATAAGAGATTTAGCCAATGAAAAATTACGAAAACTTGAAGGGTTTCATTTTTTAACCTGAGTTGGAGAAGACAGGCATCTACAGCTTTATATATGTAAATTTGGAAAAGTAGTGCATATTTACTAATTTAGATGAAATAAGATTTAATCTAATCATTAAGGAAAAAGTGTATTACTGGTCTGATATCTGGGGATGTAATGGAACCTTTGTTACCAGAAGTTTTTGAGAACATTTTAGAAAAAATTTAAAAATGCAGCCATGCACAGTCTAACTTCATTGTACCTTGGAGCAAAAGATAAACATCTTGAAGTCTCTTCTCTTACTGCCCTTTTCAAATTAGAGCATAAGGAGAAAGGCAAGGTATGGCGTCTGAAAAGAGCTAAGACACAGAATGTAGGAATATGTGATAGTCTTTTGCCAAGTCAAAAATAAGTGATAGAGTATATTTACTATTCATCTAGGACAGTGAGTTGGCAAACCTTCCACAGGAAGTAGAATATAAAATTAGTAAAGGCTGGAGCAGATTATAGGAGATCTCCTGAGTGTTTTAACCTGCAGAGTTAAGTTAATTGACAGTGTGATAGTAGATTAAAATTATTGTTTATAATTATGGGCAATGCACCCTAAAAGGCATAATTTTAACCACTTCCTCTCTGTAACTGTAATCATTCATGA